GCATCCTTATATAAACTTTTTCCTTAAATCTTTGGTCATATGGTTGATAGCCTTTAGACCCATGAGCGGAATTGCTGCTGTATTTCACTTGTGGACATTTTTTGTAGACATTTTGTATTTATATATATATATATATATATATATATGAAAAAAAATTATATAAGGTTGCATCTTAGATTGTAGAATCGATGCACATAAAAAATTCAATAAAAAAAAAAACTAGTTTTGTTGGTGGAAAACTCTAGAATTGAACATCTCGATATCAAGATCTGTGGAAATGAAAAAAAAAAAAGATTTTGAGTCTAAAAAATAGTACATCTTACAACATATTATCTGGACTGATCATTTTAAGATTTTCATATCTTTATAGATCTACTTAATTTGAACCATTTTTTGAATTTGATATTTTATAAATAGAGGTTAAAATAGATTCTCAGGCCATCCTAAGAATTTTTTTTAGCAAAATTACATTTTATAACAAAATTTGGAGGTGCGCTTTACTTTGATTGTTTAGAGAGAGAGATTGGCCCTTGGGTGGTGAGTTCCAGGATGGTCCCATTTTCCTTTGTTTTTTTGTATATGCTAGGTCAACTTTAGGTAGGCAATATTCATAGAGCGAGAGAGAGAGAGAGAGTGTGTGTGTTGTGAGAAACTTAGAATACTGCAGAGAACTCTCTGTGTACTGATTGATAAAGAATATACAAGACCCGTATAAATATACGGCTAATAACAGTTCTGGATAGACACCAAAAACAATTACTGATAAATACTAACCAGACACCTATACCCATAGGTATCCATAATGTTGTGTATTGATATACATGATACATATGTACATAAGAGATATACACCGATACAGATATGTATCCGTATGGACACTGATATATATCAATACGCTAACAGTCCCCCTCAAACTCAAGATGCTTCGACACGAGTAGTGATCTTTAGATTGTTCAAATTGCTTGAACAACAAGCACAGATAGCGACAGATCTCAGGAATAGACGGCCTTAGGAGCAGCCTCACAACCGGGATTGAGTAACGAAAAACTCGATCAATATCAGACAAACAGGCCTTCGAAACATTCAGGATCGAGTAATGTGATCATCAAATAGGAGGCCCGTGGAAAAG